AAACTACTATAATGGAGAAGCAAATGGAAAAGACAAAGTAAAATGGAATGGAGACTACTGGGATATTATCGTATATCACAGGGTCATATTCGGGTAATGGACAGAAAATGGAAACTAACACGGTCCCCTGGTGTTACAGCCCCAATGACCAATGTCCCCGTCCCAACGATATCTCCAACCCCTTAACCCCAAACCCTAGGACGGTACACCTGCCGCCGTAGAGCTCCCCAGCTAGGCCCAAATAAGTCTCGAATGATTATATCTACATCTCAGATGAGGTAGATGTCACACAAGAATAGGTCTGCGACGTATTTATGGGCCGTAGTGACTATGCAAGTTGCACCAGCATCTGCAACAGATGCAAGTAGGAGTTCTCACACAATTTTGCATAGTCGAACCCGGCAGCATGCAGCTGCATAGAAAGAAACCCTCACCCAGGTTGTAAGGGAATATATCTTACTCTCTGCTTTCGAGTTGTGGAACCGCTCCTCCCTAAACCTCCTAGATCTTGAAGCCCTGCATCCTACTACGACCGTTCACGTCACGTCACAACTGCGACAACTATTACTATTTCTACTATTGTTTCTCTCCCACCTTTGCATGCACCAGCGCTTTTCCTGGTACTATCAGGCTTGCAGCACATGTGGCCTCATCATGGCCCGTGATCTCCACCTTGACCACCATGGCTACGGGCTGTGGGATCACAGAAAGCCTACTGAAGCAATGCTCATTTCTGGCATTAGGGCGTCTGACGGCGTTTCCAAGGAGTAATTCAATGTGTATATAGCAATATCATTACTAATCTTACTATATTAACATGAAACAGCAAAACTGCACAGGCATGAAGCTGTAGGGATGCGCGCTTCGGAATCAGGAGCTCGATCCCCTAAAGCCTGGAGTCTCGAAATCTGAAACTTAAAGCCATGAACCGTGTTCGTGGACATTTCTTGCCGGCTCGCTTTGGAGCCACCCTGTTAGCCACACTGCCTGCCCCAGCGCTGGTGTTGCAGTACACGTTTTTGGCTGCGTTTGGATACTGGGAGCTTAGACTATAGCTCATATCATCCCAGTTTCCGTCGTATTTTCCATTTGATTCTCCATCATTTTTCTGGGGATCCAAGTATACAAATAATACCTACATTGAACCCCAAAGTCTGTAAACTTTAGCTACATTGGGCTACTTGGATCCCTAGGATTTGGATCATGTAAGGATGATCTTGATAATGTAAGGATGCTGAAAAATGGAAACTACTGTAGATTAGCATCTAAGGCGGCTCTCAACGTTTTGGTTTTCAGGCTTTAGGGCTTCAGGGGCTTCGATTTTTGAGGGTTCACCGGTCTTACCTAGGGCAGAGGACAGCTGCCGCTTCTGTGACAACTTTGCTGGGGGTTGCGGGTCCAACAATTCTGAAGCCTAAACCTCTAAAGTCTAGAATTTCCAGCCCTGCGCAATCTATTTTCCAGTCTGTCCCTTTCGGAGGATGAAATCAGCATGCAGGAGTTGCACGTGGGTCATAGGCTTCATGTTCAGGTCGATTAAAATTGTGGAGATCTTGCAAACTCATTAGGATCCGACATGCTTTGATGGGTACCCAAGAAGGACCTATTATCCGTGTTGGTTGTAAAGACTCATGTATATGAGGCTTCATCAATGAACCCAGAGGGTCCATGTACCCAATAATTAGGTACTTGGGATCTTGGTACTAGTATTTGTAGTACAGGTTTCGGGTAATTAATTGATTATTGGGTACACGGACCCTCGAGGGAATAGCATGCTGACTGAACATGGCAGGCCAGGACCTTTGCAGATCATTCCCCAGACACATAATACCCACATTGGGCCCCAAAGACTGTAACATCCCTAAAGCCTAGACCCTAAACCCATACCTTCATTGGGCCTTAGAATTTGTAAATATAACCTACTTGGGGCTATTTGGATCCCTAGGGATTGGGTCAGTTTTTTTCAAAGAATCTTGAAACTGCACGAAGTCGGCCAGATCCTATGGAGGCTCTGAAAGGCGGACATCGGAAAGCTCGCTGTACAGCTCTATGCAGGACGTCGCCCTGAAAAGATCTGTGCACGCAATCACCGCCGCCGGAGCTAGACATGTCCAGGCAAGCAGGGGTTGTGCGCCGCGTTGAGCGGAATAAACTAAAGCGGTTTCCTGCGGTACCTCAGCTGAGATGTGACTTCCGGAAGAGTTAGCCTACTTTTCTCACATCCTTGTTCTCCCATAAGGTCGCGGGATCGGATACTAAGGATGCATGTCACCTTTTGGCACTGGGAACATCTTCCAGAAATGCCAACCCTGGCCCCTTGGTAGAAAGCCCCACGCCTGTCTCTCAGACTGTAGAGGTAATATAAGGATCAAAAAATTGCCCATGGAAAAGGCCCCGAAAAACGAATAGAAACTGGGCGTACTATTTACGGGCTTATACTGACAAAATGCAAGGGCCTAAATAAGTATCTTACCCCAACAATGGAGAATCAAATGGAAAAGACAGTGGAAAATGAAATGGAAGCTAGGTAAAGGGATTATCCTGAATGATTGCCAACACCATTTTGAGGTCCGTTTGAGGAGCCCGGCATAACTGTACAAGTATTCCAGAAGCACAAACCATGGTAATTATTTAGGCCCCTACAATACAGCCCTAAACCCTAAACCCTAAACCCTAAAACCCTAAAACCCTAAACCAAATGTGGGGCTCTCAAAGTGGAGGGGCTAAATCCTACCTAGGCAGCGGAGAGGGCATATTACAAAGGGTAGGCGCGAATCCCTACTTGGAGGGTCTGGGGGACCTACAAGAATGGAAAACAAGAATGGAAACTACCCTACTACTATGCGGGGTTTAGGGTTTAGGAGAGTTTAGGGTAACGGGGACTTAGCAAGTAGGTTAACAATGGGGATAACTGGAATTACTTTAGAGGGGTTATACTAAACATATTTACAGTGCCCTGACCCTCCCCTGGAGGGAGCAATTTCGAGAACCTTCCACGTGACCCATAGTTGCTAAGCTATGGTCTCCTCAACAAATCCCCAATACATACAGGCTCACCGATATTCCTACGGAACCGTATAGCAAAGCCCCCAAAAATTATCAACTGCGGCTCTTGCAGCTAGAGTTCTGTTCTGGAATTTCTCGAAACGAGTTGGGCCCGACTGATGGAAAGCCAGCCCAGCGGTGTGGAATATAAAAAAGCTTCAGGGTTCAGGCTACATGGACATACAGTCCCCCTGAAGCAAATAGAATACAGCTTTGGGTACATTATAGTATGATCCCCATACACCCCATATTCTATCACTTAAGGGGGACTATACATTCATGGAGAGCCAGGTGGGCTGGCCTCCTCAGGAGTATATGAGCCATAGTCTAAACTCCCAGTATCCCCCCTAATAACCCCACTAGTAGTCCCCAATAAAATCCCCTGAACCCTTAACCCCTAAAATCCCCTATAGTATAGAGCCCCCTTTAAGGAGTTTAGACAATAGCTAATATGGAGTCTAGGGTTGAGGCTTTCTGAAAATAGCGGACCCCATCACCCTAGACATACGGGGCTTTTACCCAAGCTGGATTAAAGTTTAGGTTAAGGGTTGAGGGTTTTGGGTTTGGGGTGCTATCTTGGCCGCCTTCTACGCTTAAAAGGATCAGAAGCCTGCGTCCAAATGCCAGAACCCTCAATCCAAATGCCGAAAGCTATCCACGAAACCAAGCCCCTGCACCCCAAATCCATGACCCTAGACCACTGAATCCCCAAATCCTCCATCAGTATCATTTACTTTGAAGGTCCAAGTACCCAGTAGTCACATACTTCCCAAAAAACGGTACTATTGGTAGCATCAGAATCCCCAGCATCTAGTTATCAGCTACACGGATCCTCGCGGTTTATAACCCCACATAGCGGGGCATATAACCCTCGATAACCTTTTATAAGCCGCTAAACCCTCAACACTGCACCCTGTTACATGTGTATACGACTCTCTACCTCCAGGTTCCCCAGTAACCCATTAGTAATAAGAGTACCCTTTTTCCTACTGTTCAGTTTTAATAAGGAGACCCAACATAAAAAGGGCAAAAGGGTACTACTGGGGTACCTAAAGTCCTAAACCCTAAATCCTAAAACCCAAAGATCCTAAACCCTAAACCCGACAGAGAATAGGGTACTACCGGGGTACCTAGAACCCTAAACCCTAAACCCCTAAACCCTAAACCCCTAAACCCTAAACCCCTAAACCCTAACTAGTGGGGTACCTAGACCTTAGGGTTATGTAAACAGGCTCAAGGTACTGGTTTTCCAGGCGCAGATAAGAGAAGGCCATCTAAGAGGCCATCAGAATCCTCGGAGAAGGCACCACGTTATACGAGGACAATACGGTTTAGGGTTTAGGGTTTCGGGTTAGGGTTCTGTTTCAGGGTTTAGGGTTGGGCTTAGGATTCAGGGATATTGTCCCAATATGGAGAATAAAATGGCAAAGAACATGGACAATGACATGGAAACTGGGATTATGTACGGGTTTGTAGGGATAAGGAGGTTAACAAAATTCAGGGGTAGCTTTCATTCCTGCTTCCAGGTCTATGTTGAGGTCACCCTATTGCCCTTTTGGGCTGGCAGTTAATACTGAAAGCCGAAATACGCACAGGCCATGGAAAGCTT